CATTGGCATGCGTTACTGAGGTGCTCCGTTTTTCATTTCATTCAGGTGGTCACATGGGCCTCCTGTTTTGGAGAGCATTGTTTTGCCTTGACTACCACGACATAAAGCAGCATTCTCTAAGAGCTGTCAGTGTCTGGTGGTGGCTGGGCACGGCGCAGAGAATTCATCACCAGTCATGTCTGAACACAGGGAGGGAGGGATTCCTCAGCATAAAGTAACGGCAAACACACTGCCATCAACTTGATTCTGACCCCTAGTGACCCTGTAGGATGGACAGACAGAACGGCCTCATAGAGTTTTCAGGGCTGTCTTCTTTATAGAAACAGAGTGTCCCATCTGTCTTCTGTGGAGCAGCTGGTGGGTTCGAACTGTCAACTTGTCAGTGAGCAGCCAAGCCTTTACTGTCAGGCTCTGTTGCTACACTGCAAGCACTGCCCAGAGATTCCTCTCCCACCACGCTCTCTCTAAAGCTGCAGTGTAAGAAGAGAATGGTTTGTCTCCTCTAACTCACTAGTGCATGAGAGCCAATACAGGAAAACATCTTAGAAGACAGCATGCCTCCTAGGATCAAGTTGTTGTTCCTAAGTGCCTTCGAGTTGTTCCAACTCATAGCGACCCTGTATGGGGTTTCCAAGGAGCAGCTGGTGAATTTGAACAGCAGACCTTGCGGTTCAAACCAACCTTGCAGTTCAGTGCTTTATCCCACAGCGCTACACTAGTACGCCAATTGTTGTTGCTAAGTGCCGTCAAGTTGATTCCGACCTATAGCGACGCTGTCTGTATAGGGTTTCTGAAGAGCAGCTAGTGAGCTTGAATCACCAACCTTGCAGTTCAAATGGCTTTGCAGTCTGACGCATACGCCCAAAGCGCCACACCAGGACTCAGTATTCCAATGTTGTTGTTATGTGCTGTGGAGTCAGTTCTGATTCATAGCGACCCTGTACAAGGTTTCCAAGGCTATAAAGCTCTACGGGAGCAGAAAGCCTCATCCTTCTCCCGTGGAACAGCTGGTAGTTTCGAACTGCTGACCATGAGATTAGCAGCCCTATTCGTAACCACTACTCTACCAGAGATCCTTCCAGTGCTCCAATAGGGCAGACTAAAAAGCAATTGTTTCCCTCTAACTCGTTTCTGTCACAATCTTTCTACAACTCAAGCCTCTGCCTCCTTCACCTGTGTGAACCTGGTTAAAAGGTGGGGTCTTTTTCATGGGGCTAAACAACATAAGGCCTAGGAAAAACGTAGCAGGTTCATTTATTTATATATGTGTATGTATAATACTGTTTTTCGGGTGTTATCTCAGTGTGGCACTGTGTGCTAATGCGTCAGACTGCAACGTTGTTTGAACTGCAAGGTTGGTGGTTCAAGTTCACCAGCTGCTCCTTGAAAACCCTATACAGGGTTGCTATGGGTCGGAATCAACTTGACGGCACTTAACAACAACAACAACAATCTATCATTACCACATTATCATCACCATTATCCTATTTGTTAGCATAGTAGGTAGATATCTACACAAGTAAATCATATTTTAGAACAAATTGTATTTTTTAAAAACTCTATATATCAAAAGTCGAATAACTTTAATTCCAATTCCTTCTGGTTTCTTTTATATTGCTGTCATCTCCAACAGTTGTGTTACTTGTACCTTTATGCAAATTACAGGGGGATTTTTTTTTTTTGGGAGGGGGCATGCAGCCGTTTTACGTGTTTAGATTCCTAGATGTGCTTTGCATATTATATGCATGTTATATGCATATGAATGTTACACAGGTGCATTTGTTGTTGTTGTTGTTGTTGTCAGGTGCCATCGAGTCGGAACCCACTCATAACGACCCCATGCACAGCAGAACGAAACAATGTCCGATTCTGGGCCAACCTCACTACCACTGCCACACTTGAGTCCATCAATGATGCCACCTGGCTGATCCATCTCGTTGGGGGTCTTCCTCTTTTTCTCTGACCCTCCATCCTACCCAGCATGACATCCTTCTCCAATGACTGTTTCCTCCGGACAACATGTCCAAAGTAGGAGAGACGAAGCTTAGCCATCCTGGCCTCCAAGGAGCACTCTGGCTGCACTTCTTCCAAAACAGATCTATTGGTTCTTTTGGCAGTCCATGGCACTTTCAGTATTCTCCTCCAACACCACAACTCAAAGGCATCAATTCTTCTACGATCCTCCTTATTCACTGTCCAGCTTTCGCATCCATATGAGGCTATTGAAAACACAATGGCCTGGGTCAGGCGCACCCTAGTCCTCAAGCTGACATCTCTGCCCTTCAACACTTTAAAAAGTTCCTGTGCAGCAGATTTGCCCAGTGCAATACGTCGTCTGATCTCTTGACTGCTACTTCCACGAGTGTTGATAGTTGATCCAAGAAGAATGAAGTCCTTGACAACTTCAATCTTTTCTCCACTGATAAGAATGTTATTAGATGTGGAGAAATGACGGTACTGAGCTGTGTACCTGAAAAGTCTAAACTCCTGAAGAGACATTTTTCCTAATTTTTGTGCCTTCCGCAAATATCTAGCTTAATTATCTATACAAAGTAGACATTTAAAACTTGTTATCGTTGTAGTACTATAGGATAAGCACTGGACCACAAGGTCAGTTTAAACCATAAGGTCTTCAGTTCAAACTCACCAGCCGCTCCTCGGAAACCCTATATTGGGACTCAACAGCACTTAACAACAACATTTGAATTATATTTGTAAATCAAATTTAAAAATGATCAAATTTGGCTATTTTTAAAGTGGGAAATGGGATTTAATCTTAATTAATTCAACAAATACTTAGTAAGCACTCACTAGAAACTTGGTATGACCTTAGGAGTTGGGGATTCCGCTATGAGCAAGTTGACTAAACTCCCAGGAGTCTATGCTCTTGGGGAAAATATGAGTCAGCGTAAAAAGAGGGATAGAGAGTGGAAAGAGAGAATGCTGGGAAGGTTCACTGGGACCAGTCACGTTGCGCCTTAGAGGTCAAAGTAAGCAGTTCAGATGATATTCTGTGTAACATGAAGGGTCATCACTGGAAAATGACAGGGACTGACTCACTTTCTTAAAAGAACAAGTAAGCCAGAGTAAGTAAGGGAAGAGGAGTGGGAGCAGGGGTCTAGAGAAGGCGAGGTCAGAGGTCATGGTACCGGGACTGGAAACAGGTTCCCAAGGAGCTGAGGCAGCAGGTTTCAGAGATGGAACTGACAAAATCGCTGCTGGGCTGATGGAAACACCGAGGACAGGAGGGAGGAAGGATGAAGCCCAGGTTTGGGCCTGACTATCAGAGCTGTTTACTAGAAAAGGTGGGAAGGAGAAGCAGGTGTGGGGAAGAATTACTTTTTTCAAATTTTCTTTTAGACCCGTTTAGTCTGAGATCTCAAAGTGAATTTCAAGTAGGCAGTTGTCTATTAGACTCTGGAGTTTCAGGAAAAGGTCAGGGCTAAAGGTATAACTTTGGGATCAGCGTCATCTAGATAATTAGTTAGAAGCCAAAAATTGGGTGAAATGGCTTAACGGAGATCAGAAAAGGAGACCAAAGTTTAAGAAAGACTGGAAGAAAACCAAGAACATGGCCCAGACACCTAAGAAAGTATTTCCAGAGAGGAGGTACTGGCGACTTTCTGTGCTTGTAGCTGCTGTTAAAGTCATTGAGTCAGTTCCAAGTCATAGCAACCCTGTGTACAACAGAACGAACGGACGCCCTTCTGGTCTAGTTAACTGTGAGCCTTTCTTAACTCTCCTGCTAAACAAGAAGATTCACAGAGGCAAGAGTGCTTCCTCATTCATCTCATACCTTCTCTACTCAACTCACACTTACTGATTGACTGAGTAAGGGGAGCACAGGAGTCCTGGTCTGGTACTGCAGGATGAACACTGGACTGCTACTTGCAAGGTTGGTGGTTCAAACCCACCAGCCACTCCTTGGAAACCCTATACAAGATTGCAATGAGTCGGAACCAACTCAATGGCACTTAACTACTAATAGTACTACTAAGCGGACATGGTAGCTCCATGGACTTAAGGACTGGACTGAAAACCACAATGTCGGAGGTTTGAGTCCACCAACCCCTCCACAGGTGAGAGATGAGGCTTTCTGCTCCTGCGAGATTTTTTAAAAGCCTCAGAAACCCTATACAGGGTCGCTATGAGTCAGATCCAACTCGATGGCACTTAACAACAACAAAGAGGCCACAGCTGCCCCAAGACAGTGACATTGGCCGATGTCTCATCTTTCTCAATGAATTCCAGGGGCTGTTGCCAAATTTACCACACTACACTCCTTATTAATAAACAGAAAAACATTTCACTTTGTCCAAGATCACTCATACTGATAATCTGCTCTCTGCCCTTTCACCAGTGAGAACAAGGACAGGATGGGGCACATAACAGATGCTCAGTAAATAGTGGTTGAAGGAATAGATGGATGGGGCAGGAAGAAGGAAGGGATGGGGCATAGTATTGGTTCTCATATCTTTTATTCAGCCGTACCTACAGATAAACTTAGACTTAATCATTCTCTCCAGATTTTATTTCGCACCATATCTTTATCGATAATTAAGACTGACTTGGAAGGGGGAAAAAAAAAATCTGGCACAAGTCTAAAAGAAATCAATTAGAAAATACAGTAGTTGGAGATATTTCACAATTTGGAAGCAGTGAATCAATATTTTCTAAGTTCAATGCTTTTCATTAAAAAAAAATATTTATTTCTAAATGTGCAATAGACTCATAAGCATTGTACTTTACATAAAAAGGTACAGCAAACCTTCCAAAGCCTGCTGGAGGCTTCACAAAGGAGAAAACAACATTTCAAAAGAGACTGTTTGAAAGTCGATTCCTTTTGTAGTGTAAAACATTTGATGATCTCAAATCGTCCCTATAAAAACCCACATCCAAATAGTACAAGGCAGAAATACAGGGGCACTTGACAATTGAGTGAACTTTTCCCCGCATACCATTTTTCTACTGAAAACCCTCCACCTGAAATTCTGAAATACCTGAGGCCCCATAACCACCAGAATACCGCGGAGACTTCGAACCAGATGGAGAGGATTCCTTCATTCGATCAATCACGTTTTCCGAAAGCTGAAAAAGCAACATCAAAATGAAATCAATTCCAAAGGAACAAGAGAAAAGTAAAATCTTGTACAATAGCATCCAAGCAATTCAGTCATCGTTATCAATATGTATAATGAATGGCCTAACGAAACGAGGCTGAACCTAATAGCTTTAAAACTAAAAGCAAGTCAGAATAGTTTTAAGATTGCACGAGGTACACCCAGCAGTACTTTACTCCTTCTAATGCACCGCTAATTGCTCATTATAAATAACTCTGCTCTTCGTTTTATACAGTGCACTAAAACTGTAAACGCTGAGAAAATGTAAACCATCAGAACTCCTTCAACTTCCCTCCCCTAATCCCACAAACTTATATGCAATCAGCAGGCCTTAGTTCCTTCCCATCAGTCCCACAGGAAATGGTGCCCACCCCTCTTCCCTCTCTCCCTCCCGTTCAAGGCAAACTTCAGACATCACTCTTTCCACTGCATGCATGGCAGGGACTCGGTTGCTGTTGTTAGGGGGCATGTGTAAATGCACTGTTGGGGACACTTGCTGTGTATCTTGAGTGCCTTCCCACCTAGAGGGCTCATCACCCTGCATTCTATCGGACACTGATCTGTTATGATTCACAGGGTTGTTACTGACTGATTTTCAAAAGTAGATCACCAGGTCTTTCTTCCTGGTCTTAGTTCAGAAGGTCCACCAAAATCTATCCACCCTGGGTGACACTGTAGGAATCTGAAATACCGGTGGCAGAGCTTCTAGTATCACAGTGACATACGAGCCCCCACACAGCAAGACGCACTAACAGACAAACGGTGATCTAGGCTAGACATGTGTATTCAAAGGCATTGAGTCATTTGAAGCATAGAGACAAAGAGACACTCAGGCACTTCAATCTAATGATGAAGTTTGGTCAGCTCAGAATGGGCTACAGAATGCTTGATGGGCAGGGCATCTGGGGCTGGACAGCTTACAAGAGATGAACAAACAGGAGTTAGGAAGAGAAGGCGTAGAGAGAGAGAGATTGGCCCAGGCAGAATGAACTATGTTAAGGCACAGATGGTAGACACGCAAGTGAGGAAATCAAGTAGACAGCAAGCCACTGGGCGGAGGCTCTCCGGGACACTCAGGGTTGGGAATCCGAGTCATCAGTGCCCCAACGACTATCCCATCATCCCATCTTCTGTACAGCACGTCCATCGGTCTGGCACTCTGTTTATAGTCCTGCCCTTTAGAAAGCTCTACGACAGCATGGACTCCACTGCCCACTTCCTCTGTCCCCGGAGCCCCATTAAACCAAACAGACTGAATACGCAAAACACAAAGCTGGAGGGGCACAGTGACCGAGAAGGCAGAGGGGGAAGGAAGAGTTTGGTTTTCAAACATGCTTTAGTGAACCCTTCAACTTCCAGAGTTTCACCTGCATCCTGAGGGTAAAACGGACACTAAGAAAATCAGAGCAAACCCATCGTCAGTGGGTTCTGACTCATAGCTGCCCTACAGGACAGACTATCCCATCAGAGCAACCCTACAAGATAGAGAACTACCCCATCATAACTACCCTAGAGGACAGAGAACTACCCCATCATGACTACACTATAGGATAGAGAACTACCCCATCATAACTACCCTAGAGGATAGAGAACTACCCCATCAT